TGTTTGAGAATATGTTGAACTAATATAGATGGCGGCCTTCATCAATATGAGCCACACAATTGTGTATATAAGGTTGTTGCATCTTCAAGCATTGCTTTGGCATAAGGGTATCTATCAGGGTGTTGGGCCAAACTTGCGGTACAGGTGATGATCTTGGCAAGAGGGGTTTACGATGTGTTGTTGCATAAAGACAGCACTTAAGCTTTATTTCAGACATCTAGAGTTCGTTAGTAAGAGATACTGAAATATATTCAGTTGCGTCTACTCACGTCTTGGGTTGGTGGCTGGAATACACGGCAGTTAGGCATTGCATTTAGTTAGGGACAATGGTGGGATTGATGATGATGGTGCACACCCGCAAGATGGAGCATTTAAATCTTGCGCTCATTATGCTAGGAAAAGACAAGAAAAGATACTAACAAAAGGAAGCTATTATTCCTTGTTCTGTTGTAGACACACCATTTTTTGTTTTTATACATCTGCCACAAGTTTAGACCCACATTCTCTGTATCGGTCACAAGCAATCACTAAATGCTACTGTTTTATTGTTCACTTTTATTTTTCCCCTTGGTAAACAGAACAACCAGACACAATATCACATGCTCTTTTGTTTGTTAAACACTAATGCTCAAAACATACCACTATTATCCTAGCCACCTAAGCATTGAAGAGAAATAGTATTTTTAACATGTATCAAAGAAGATGACCACTGCAAACTGTACCCGACGACTTCTCATAAGATGTACCAATCCCTCAACCAGCAAGTCAGAGACTCTTTATTACAGTCAAGGATATGCGATGACTTTGAGGATGAGCAAGCGTGTTAGCCTTGTTAATAGCTTCATCTGTCAGAACATTCTTGACTAGGATACAAGGAGCACTTGAGAGCTTGAGTAAATCAGCTGGATTATCCGGGTGAAGTGAGAATTTAGCATCAGTATCATCTTCCATGTTCTCGTGAGTCATATTTTTATCAGGTAGGGAATTGTTGCCAGTGGGTATAGTATCTAAGAATTCTTGATCTGTGACCATATAATCATCAGTTGATGCTTGTTTACTTCTCCCTTTTGTAGCCGGTATATGATCCAAAGGTGAGAAAAATTCAAAGGTGAGAAAAATATTGAGAAGAGAAATAACTCGCTCATTTTAATATAGCCTCTTGAGCCTTGGCTGCTTTCTTATCTGCAGTAATTCTCGCTTTGTCTGCTTTTTTTGCTGCAGTTGCTCTCAACTTCTCTGTTTTTTAGCTTCTTCTTCCTCAGCTTTCTCTGCTGCTAAGGCCTCCTTACCTTGTGCTTTAGCTTCCTTGAGGGCCTGGTTTTTGGCAAGTTTCCTGTCAGTTTTTGCTGTCTTATCTGCTTCTAATCTTGCTATTAGCGCAACACAGTCATTCAATGTAACAACCTAGAGTTTGTATACTCTGGCGCACAACTAGAACTAACTATAAAGGTAGTGAAAGGAGTGGTTACCCTTAGGATAGGACCAAGTTAGTTGTGGGTAAACAACAGGAGGACTCACTGAGGAGTCTCCTGGATCTATTGAGTATTTGACTTGTAGCTAAAATAAGAAGAAAGGCAGTGCAGCATGAGAAAGAGGAGTTTGAACAAAAGGAAAGTGCTGCATGGCACAGTGTGAGAAAACTACAGTAAAAGGTTTAAAGTGGAGAATGAAAATAAAAGGAAAGATCCAAAAGTGTGTTATTGTAACATTCAACAAACTGTTAGAATTGCCATTGGGTAAGCAAGCACTCCATAGCTGAGGTATCTGATGGACATATCAGAGCAAGTGGTAGAACAAAATATTGTAGTGTATTTACAACTATAGGCCCATATACTGTAGACAATAGAAGCCATTGATCAGCAGTAAGAGATCCTCCTGAAGACATACCAATATCTGTCAGTAGTTTTCCACAAGAGCTAGGAATAACAAACTAGTAGATGGATATCAGCCAAAATTGAATTATCATTATCTTCAAAAAAGAGTACTCACATCAGCAGTAACTCATGAAAGACCTTGAGTTTGTAGTTGGGCCTAAGAATCTTACTCTGGACCCAGATATTGTAAAAATGAGATTTAATGAGACCTGTATCTTGTTAGCTAAAAGAAGAGTGAGAATAAGGCTGCACATACCAAGAAAAAGGTTGTGCATTGGATCAGTCACAACCTGTTCAACAAGATTGAAGTAGGGTAATCTTAAGAGTTGGGTATACCGCATTGCATATTCCTTGACAAAATTCTTGCATGTGGTAGCATTTGGCAGTTTTCTATACCGGTCACCATAGTCTTGTTGCTGCTCATTTGTACAAGGAAGAAAAGCTAAGAGATTATCAGAAAAGACAACTTTTATATTGATAAAGTGGCTTACCATCTTTTACGAAGGCTTTGGCGCTGTCCTTTTCACCTTGAGTGATCCACCAACATGTACATAGATTGGTGTGGAAGTGGGATCCAAATCCACCTACCTTGTGTGCTGCAGGTTTGTTGCATACAACAGCTACAAGAATAACACGGACCAGGCGCCCTAAAGATTGACATATTAATGTCTATCATGTAGTCTATCATTTTCTGATGATCTTCCATACCTTGGGGACATGAGGTTGTCGGTATCTTGATGCCATGTTTCCATAAGTGGAGAAAATCAGATACGATCAGCCATAGAAATTGTCGGATCTAATCCAGGTTTTGTTTTTTAGGTCCTGGCAGTATATTGGTTAGCATAAAATTTGATGTACAATACTTTGAAAGTTAAGTTATTGAGTTAGATCAATAAGTTGGGGTACAAAAGAAACTCACTGGTGCTCAGGTGGTAGATTGCATATAGAAAACAATGCTGGGCACAATAAGTGAGATGGTGCAATATTACTTTGTATGTAAGAGAATCTTGAAGTAAAAACAGAGTGTGATTACTCTGAGGAGAAGTTAGACAGCGTACCAATCAATACCCAGGTTGACCCCAATTTGAAGTTCACCTTTGGGTCCATTTCTTTCATTTGTAGCATTAGAGAAAAATAGATTGCCAATCAATTTTGTATGATATACATCGCTGTCAAAAATGTTGTTATACTGTCCCACTGTTCTGGTTTCTGTGTGCTCGTGTCCTTGTTTGGTCTTGTCTGGAAGAAAAAGGGAGACCTGGCATATATTACAAGTATCTTGTGTGTGAATTGATCCAGAGGCTGGGTAGATGTCCCAACATGATGGACAACAAGCAAGTTCTAATATATGTAGGTGTGTTGAGAGGAAGGATGCAAGTTGCCGACTGAAGGGTTACAAATGGGGGTTGCTAATCCTGGTGAAATAGCAATAATAAGGCACCACATGATTGATAAGAGGGTGTTACATACTGCACAAGGTAGGTGCCATTGCAGGTGGAGCCAAGTTGCTAGTGCATATACTGTAAGGAGGTGAGAAGGTTGAGTACTCAGATGAGAGCAACCATCAAGTGAGAGAAGCTCACCACCAGGCCCAAAAGGGTTGGGGTCATCTTTGGTGAGTTCACAAGGTGAGAACTTGAGCCCAGTGTCTTGATCTATTTCATCAGTTTCAATAGGCTGGTCAGCATCCACATTGATATTCTCATTGATGAAAACATCAATAGAGTCGGTAGGGTCTTGATACAAGCCCATTTGTTCTTGTTGGATTTGCTCAATTGTCCTTTCTAGCTTGCAATCTATTGCACATTACTCTGGATCTGGTGGCATATGATGGGCCTGATAGGCACTCAAAGGTTGAGCACCTGCAGCTGTAAACGAGTTGTAAGCATTATAGTAGTCTATAGAGGCATGCAGAGTCTCTGGTGAGTGAAAGTTAGGGCCTAAATTCAGCAGACTACTACCAAAGAACTGTAAATTAATATATTTAGTAGTTAGTATACCATTTTCAATCATTTGCTGTTCTATAAGACTGGGAGAGAATGCTTGAGGCTCTGAAAAGTTGAATTTTAGTGGTAGAATCACCTCTCAAGTAATGTTTGCAGCCGCTAGGCTTGGTGAGTGGCCTATGTGGGTCGTTTGTGACATGGCTGTTTTTGAGTGCAAGTCGGCTCTCTAGTGAGTTTGTTTTGTTGCAGGTGTTACAAGTGCACCATCACAGTTTTGAGTTCTGCAGTAGCAGTGAGTGAAGGCAGGCATGATGGTTGATGATGATGGTGATGATGGTAAGGTTGAAGCCGCATGGCTGAGGTGCGGTGGTATATGATCACATCCAAGTCAATACCACATGCACTAGGCTACTAGGCTCATTTTTACATTTTCTCATCAAACCCTCATTCAATTTGATACACATGAGCATAAAGATAAAAAAATCAGATGGGATTAAGCGCATTCTGTGCCACAAATATACACAATTCATGATACAGAGAGCAGTGTAAATATGTAAATATGTCTACCTATCAACTATGCTAGGGTCAATCATTTTGAGACACTTGGAGGATGTTGCAGCTTTGAGTGGAGATATAGGTTGTTTCCTCTGTGAATAATAGTACTTTCTAAATTGAACATGGATAAGATTTTGAGGACTCACCAAGCTTTTTACTTTGAAAGTTTCTTGGTTGCTTTTGGATTTAGTAAGGCTGCTATACTTGCTGGTTGGCGGTTGGGGTCTCTGCGGGGCTAAATGGAAAGGGTGCATTAGAAAATGTCAACAGCAGGGTCACTGCTTACTCGGTGTTATAGCCTCTTTTTCCTTGTATGGTGCACTACTTATGGTACTGGATGGTTTTATCTTGATAGTCTAGAAATACAGAAAGGTTAATACAATAAGTATAATATGCATAACTTACCATAGGTCCAGGGAAATATGGTGTGAATGTCATTCTATATGTTTCGGGATATTTGAGGGGCAGTTTGATTGATATTGTGTTGTTGAAGTCCAACTACATGTTAAAAGGACTTAGTGAGATTAATTGAAAAAAGGCTAGAATAGACTCACTTTTGTCCAGATGTCAAATTTTGAGCTTATTGCAATCAAGAGTGTGGTTGGTGTATGAATATGTGGGGTAACACAAAGTGATTTAGATGGATTTAGACATGGAGGCTAGATTACAGGTCAAGTCTGGATATAGCTGTTGTCTATGTTTTGTATGTATGGTTTGTTTCGCTCGCACTCAAAATTTTATCTCTGTCTGGTTTGGATACATTTAACTGAACAAGTACATTTTGATTCTGATTTTATGCTTTGGCTGTGTATAATTTACATATGGCTATTTTCTCATTTCCACAGTGAATGCTACTGAGGCTCTCTGAAGTGCTTCATCAACTGTGGGAAAGCGGGAGTGTCCTGGCAGGAACCTCCCACCCTCCACCCCTGCTTGTCACTGTGCTGCACAGTGTCAAAGTGTGGGAACATATTGATGGCATGCATAAGATATCCACCAGGCCCACGGCCTTTGGTTATCTATAAAGTTGCAAATTTCCTCCACAATGGACACTGCGGTCTCAACTGCCATGTCCTAACTACAAACTGGGTAAGTATAATTTTCCCACATACAAGGTGCCAACTGCATCAGGAAAATGTGACTTAGATATAAATACAATAAATTGCAAAATATATGCTACAATAGCAAAAATATCTGTTATATCTATAAGTGTGATCCTTGCAAAGTCCTCTACTCTAAATGCATGATTATCAATAAATATCAGTTTAGAGTATTTCTATATCATAAAAAGTGGTGTATAGCACAGTCGTTAAAACAAAAATGACCTTGCACTTTTTCACTATAATTCACTCTAAATTTATATTAATCCATACTCAATCATATCCAAAAACAGCACTAATAAAGCAAATTATTTTGATTTTTAAAAACACTGCAGCAGTAATATTTATAAAAATGATTTTGACGCTTTTGCTGCTTCCTCTAAAGCATCAAAATCAAATATAAGCTCAGAAATATCAGATTGCCCCCTCCCCCCACTGTTATACAACCATTCCTACAAAAATACTTGAGGTTAAGAAAACATTTCAATATAAATATGTAGTAAGCTCTTACCAAACATATTCATCAACCCCATTAACTACAGCCACCAGGTATGTAGGAGAATATTTCTGAAAGTTGTCCGGTAACCTCATATGATGATCACACCTTGTGAAAGTATAATAAGTACAGATTTATAGTGATTGAGGTGATGTACTTAGTAGAAAATGCTGTCTCTGAGAATTCTATTGTGGCATTGTTGATAGCACCTGGCAAAGCACATTCAATCTGGTAAACAATATTGATTGTTAGTTTTATTTTAAAAAAAATATGAACACTTACAGAGCATGCTACTAGAGCCAAAGGTCTTTCAGAAGTAGCCTAGAAATTGTGAATAGTAATATCAAATAACGCCAACATGAATAAATTTAATAATGTAACTGTTTTAGTTTGAAGGTGGTGATGATGGAGAAGGAGTACTCTTTGCAGCTCTGCCCCTGGCCATCAGATAACTGCATTATTTAGAATGTATAATCCTAGGTATTGGAGTCCTGAAAACCAAGCCAATGATACAAGTTTAGTATACGTGGCAAAGATGAAAGATACAAATGATACAAACAAATACAAATCTAAAATAATAGTTTCAGCAGGTGAAAAATTCTTGCGCACCAATATAGGGAGAATATGACAGTGAAAATATACCAAATCCAATGCACAGAGGTCTTTAGTGACCACTGTTGATGGAGATTATTGCAACATTTTGGCTTGAACTGGAGGATTGTGTCAGGCTGTTATGTAGTTGAGGTAAGGCTCCAGAATATTGTTTGGCTGATACTGCTAAAATTCCAGGTGAGTATGATATATTAGTGCTTTGTGTCTTTGTGTCCTTCTATCACAGAAAACATTAAAACTACTGCCAATAGTACGTCCTCAGCATGCCTGATCCATTTGAAAGGCTTCAGTTGTGCAGATCTGTAACATGAAGTTGCAGAAACATATATTTGAAGGCAGGCATTGTAGCCTCACAGGTGAGTAAACAGGAGCACAAAAAGTCCCGCTTGCTGTGTTGATGGTGCAAGTGTCCTGGCCCCCCGCCATACAACACCAAGAACATGAGAAACTTTCCTCTAGCCATGCACAACAACAGTCTCCATAGTATTTCTTTCTTTGGCTCAAAATCAACTGGAGCTTATACTTTGCTTTAATATTAGCTAGAATTTTTTTTTTTTCGTGTTTTAAGCAATGTTGTACAATTGCCAAATAGCCATCTGTCTATATGTGTTTGTGGGTCCATATTGGGTTTGTTTATGCTTTTGTTTATGCTTTTTTTTTTCAGTCTTGGTGTCTTGCTTCCTTGTGGCTGTTTCTTGCTTTTTTATTGGCTGTTCTTTCCTTTGTAATTGTCTACGTTGTTTAACATCTCATCAAGATGACTAGGGCAACTTGTTCCACTATACAAAAGACAAAGGGAAAGGTTGCTAAAAGAATCTCCAGAACTTCATTGAAGACATCATCTCCTCTATCAATGCACCCCCCTGCAAGAAAACAGGTTTTTGCTTTTACATGCTTGGAGTTATATTTTGGAGAAAACATTTGATGTTATGCAACCATGGAAAAATAACATTTTCAGAACAGTCTTTCAAAGTCAGTGGTGGGGACCTAAAGGTGAAGGAAGGAAATATAGTAAGAAAAACAACCCATATCTCCATAACCTCCCTGCACTCGCCCTGGTAGCATACTCTGTAAGGTTTTTCTCACTCTTTTATTCACAAATTTAATTGTATATTTAGGTTGAATATGTTAGTTTTGGTGATTCTGCACCTAGTTGTGCTATCTATTTTCCCTTCTTTCTAAATCACTTTCCTTTTTATTCTCTTTGCTCTATTGTTTAGTATTCACTGAGCATTCTATAATTTTGCCTTTGTGGTTGATTTGTTTACCTTTGTTTACAAAACTTTGGACTAGTATTGCAGAGTCCAGTATTCCTATTCTTTAGTTACTCATACTGGACTCTAGGTACTGTACACATTCTGTACTCTCTGATAATATAGTTACTCATACTGGACTCTAGTTCTGTCCCTGTTAGCTCTCAGCAAGTGGCTAGACACTTCCCAGAAGTTCTTAATTGAACAGAATATACTTTACTTGGCACTATCAACAATAGAATGGTAGAATTCTCTGAGAATTCATTTGCTCCAAGGTACTGTACCATTTGTTTTCTGGTTATTTTATATATTTATCTCATTTAATTCATAGATGGGAGCATTATATGAATCTAATCCAAGAGTTCAGGGAACGGTCCCCAACATATCTGGCAAGTATGTTTGGTGATATTGAAGAATTTGTATGGTGAATTGTTTGCTCTTTTTTTTTTTTTTTTTTTCTCTTATATTTTACAGGGGTGTTCTTAATACTTTGGTTTTTCTGAATCCTCCCATCTCATATTTGACTTTGATCCTTAGAGGAGGCAGCCAGGGATTTTAAGCAGTAATCTCATATACTTGTAGCTGTCATTTGTGTATTGTGCTTTGATAAATCATTGAAATTTTGACTGTTTTTACATTTTGAAAGTGAGTGGAAGTGAAATGCTCTGGATTGATCCAGTTAGCTTTAAATGATGTTTAGAGGAAATGAAGTCATTTATATCAATCCATTGCAAGGTCGTATACAGCTGGGGTGACTTTGATATATTTGACTTTTTATGCTATAGGTAATTTCTATATGCTATAAGCCTGCACATTTTTGCATTTGATATGCTATAGTGCACTATATCAAGGGAATTTGTAAGATTTGCACTTACAGATCTGAACTGATCTGAGTGATATTTTTGCTATAATAGCATATTTTTGCATTTTATTGCATTTATAGCCATATCATGTTTTCCTGATGCAGCTCTCTCAACCCAGCAACAAGCCCAAAATGGAAAATTTGTCTGAGCAAATTATGATGGAATGTATATGGCAAGCCTAGTATGGAAGATGTTGCTTTACAGCTCATATCAATGGCTATACCATTTAAAACTCTTCTGCAAGTGGAAACACCGCCCAGTGTTGTCCCGCCTCATTACATCACTCTGGGGTATCAAAGGGAAGGTTATAAACCTGATTTAATTGACTATAGTTGTTATCAGGATGCCTGCAAAAAGCTTCTGCTTAGTACTTGTGGACGTGTTGCTTTGCTGCAAGGTAGGATTATGTGGTGTCTTATGTCCTTTCCCCAGAAGCCATCATTCAGGATCTTCAAGTGATGCCCAAGAACCAAAGGAAATATTTCAGACTACGGATAGGTGTTTATTCAATGATGATTATCTCTCTCAGGAAGACCTGGATCTCATTTCAGTGGTTTACAATGTTTACACTAGACATGGACTTCAAATGTCTCAATCATCATGGTGGCCAAAGAATTCAATATGTATGGGTGGGGGTCTCAATACTGGTTTTTGGTCGGGCTTTGTTGAGAAATGGTTTCATATATGCTTGGAACATATCTACCACAATACTGCTGAGTTGAGGGGTGGGAAAACGTGGAAAGTGGGTATGGTTATGAACAAGAAAACTCCCAAATTCCTCGATCACAGTAACAAAATTGTGTCATTGTGGTTCCAGATTATTACTGTATGTCTACTATCTAGCTTTCCCCTGAGTAACTATTTACAACAGTACATGTATATATGTCAGCTGTGTAATAGACTGTACATGTGTAATTATTATTTGTGTTTTTTGCGTCAAAATCTGTTGTTATCTGTTTGCAATAATGAACTCTCTTCATAGCAATGGAGCAACTATGTAAGTAAAGCCCAATAAGAATTATTGATGAATGATTTGGCTCATATCAAACACATTTACTAGATTTGCTTGGATCTTGTCTGCTGACGTGTGAGCTTTTTGTGTTCTAAGTAAAGGGTAAAGGATACCGCTGGCTCCATTCTGTCTTCAGAAATCTTCCAAGTAATTAGGTAATGCATAACAACATCACTCATTGCTGTATGATGGGCGGCACATTAACATTGAGCTTTTGTGTCCAGGTAGTATAAACTTTGGTATGTGGCCCGCTCCTTCAAGTACCTTTCACTCTCCTGTTCTGTTGCCATGTATCAGTATCTATTGTTCCAGCCTCACACTCATGTTATTTTCTAATAAAGCCAGTTCCAAAGTTAACCTTCAACTCCTTAGCAGCTCTTTACCCAGTGTCACTGACCCATTGCAGTCATCACGCTTACTACAGCATCCAGCCTTTAGACTCGTGTTTGTCAATTACAACAAATTCACTGCCAACAACGACCATGTCACATCCCAGGGCTGTAATACTGCTCACAGAAGGATCACACTTGAGGTCTTCCCTTCTGGAGATTTGACATGGTGGTATGTGCCAAAAACAATATTGGAACCTGAGGTAGAAGACAAAGGGCCCTGGCCTTGGCCGGTTAATCTCTTTCTATCAAGCGCTCTTTATTCTGACCAGATCTCTAGGGAGCTCTTATATTGTACAATGGATCAGTGAGATATACATAAATTGGGTCCAGCATATAAATGCCATGTCTATCCGGCACCCCAGATTTTAACAATAATTCCATTGGCCTACCTATGAGAGAAATCTTCCGCAATACTGGGTACAGGCAGTGCCATGTCAGTTGATGAAGATTTTGAAGCAGGTGTGCATAGCAATAATGATGCCAGTAGTCTTCCTGGTGCATCTTGAGCCAGTGTTCCCAAATGAAAATGTAAGCTTGTTTCTTTTGGTTCATGCTTCACCTGATTTAGTAAACTCAAAATTTCTATAGCATCTGAGATAGATAGCAGCTACATAATCCCAGAGAAGTACATGAGTCCAAGGAAGGTGTCTTCCCCTCAGCCGAGCCCCAAACAAACCCACAACATGTCCCCCAATGACATAGCTGGGAGATGGGCTCGAGGCATTTCAAACAATGTCAG